AACACTGTAAATATTGACTCATTATATATTTTTTTTTGCCAATAAAAGCCTTTAAAACTTATATGCTTATCATTGTTTTTCAGTATACCATAGAAACATGGAAAAATAATCTACAAATACTGAAGCAGTGAACTTTGCAAAACACAAATTTTGTCACTGCCAAAACTTTTGGCCATGACTGTTTTCCCGTTTCCTTACAGTCTAGATTTGCAGTTGTCAGCAGCAGCAGCTAAGTGTTTTTTGAAAAAATTCACCATCCTCTTCCATGTGTCCAGCTGAGCCTCTGAATGGGCCTTAGGTTCGCCGCCAAAGTAAACCACTTGGTTAGCGACAGCATGAAAATTAGCAAGACAAAACGGCATATAGGGAACCTCAATAAAGTGACCTGCTTTTTCATACCTCACCAGCTCGTAGTTATTCTTCCCGTGTGCTTTAAGTCTGTTGCATGCTAGTTTTGCGTAATAGGCACTTTGCCAATTCCTGTCAGCTTCTGACATTATAAACATGAAGTTACCTGAGGCACGTTCAATAGGAATAATGCTAGGAAGGCCTTCTTCTGACATTGGGTCATTCATAACATCCCCAATATCCACAAGGCCCAACGGTGTCATTTTTGCTCTCTTAACATCAAACATGAGGGGTGGAACACAAATGTCTTTGTAGTAGATGGGAACCAAAGTATTGGCATTGCATCCATTGATCCAAACAGTAGCCGATATACCAGGAAGGAATGTTGCCATCGACAAACCGAGATCTCCACTCTTTGATATGGACACTAGGCCAATTTTTTGATCTTTGACCTTTGGAAAAAAAATAATAATTATTTACACTGAACAAAATTATAAACGCAACACTTTTGTTTTTGCCCCCATTTTTCATGAGCTGAACTCAAAGATCTAAGACTTTTTCTATGTACACAAAAGGCCTATTTCTCTCAAATATTGTTCACAAATCTGTCTAAATCTGTGTTAGTGAGCACTTCTCCTTTGCCGAGATAATCAGCTCCATATATATATATATATATATATATATACATAAAAAAAACAAATTCCAAATATTAATAAAAATGATAATTTCATTGATAATAAAACAACACTGCTCTGGGATTATTATATACAGTATCTCCCATTGTAATTTTCACAATTTTATCTTGAAATCATAACAATCAGGAATAGCCTACATATGAATGGATGTACATACTAACCTCTGGTTGTTGCCGTAGAAAATCTATACCTTCTTCAAAGTACTCAAGGTGAAATTTGTCAGCTCTTTTGGGTAAATCTTGGTAACCCTGGAAAGCCAAGGCAAAAACAGCAAAGCCTCTCTTTGCCAACAGAGCTGCCCTCAACTCAAAAGGACCTCCTCTAAATACATATGTATCCAAAATCCCAGGAAATGGTCCTTTACCTGAAAAATCATAATATTACATCATTAACTTGATCAGCTTGACTGAAATAGTAAACAGAAGTGTAAAGAGTACCTGAAAACCACTGCGTAAAAGTACAGATACCTTAGAGTGAAAATAACTCCATTACAAGTTACAAGTCACCAATTCTAATACCACTTGAGTAAAAGTCTTTTATCTGATAAAAAGTATCTGATTTTAACAGTACTTAAGTACTGTTACTTAAGTACTGTAAGCAACTCATACTGAATATAGGCTCAAAGATGCACTAGTCCTCAACACCTAAGAGACCACCGAGTGAAAAACAAGAAACAGGTGATTTGAGAAGAGCCATCATATACTTATTTTCTCAAATCTAAACAAACTCAACACCTCAAAATTGTAATAAATCAAGGTCGTCACAACAGGCTCTTCAACGTCTCCAAACACTCACATCTCAGTTTAGCTGAAGTGCTCAAAAAGGGCATAAGTAAACCAATATCCTTCAAAAAAGTCTCTTCAATATAACAGATAAATAAAATATTGTTAAGTAAAATGATACATTCAAACTTAAAGCCTACTTGCACTGGATCTGCTGGTGTCGGCCTCATCACCGCAATGTTTCCCACACATAGACTTCACTTGGACGGCCGCCCAAGTATGAGTCAGAGAAACATTTTTGCTTTTATAATTTTTATCCTCTTACACTTTTTTTTTTTTATCCGCTCGAAATTATGAAACCGTTCGCGATCGATTAACTAGTGGAAAATCTCCCCTCGCCCTAGAGCTACAATTGTAATTTATAAATAATACAATTTAATTACAATTTAATTTTATATTTTATTAAAGGTCTATTTTGACCCCTATAATGGGTGTTTTTTTTTTTTTTTTTACTTCCTTAATATTTGAGGGAGGGTGCACACAATTAAATTCTGCTTAGGGCACCCATTTGGCCACAAGCGGCCCTGACCGTATTAGCCCGGTTCTGTCAATTCTGCACTGGCTCCCTATTGAACACTGTATACATTTTAAAATCTTGCTAATTACTTATAAAGCACTAAATGGTTTAGGTCCTCAGTACTTGAGCAAGCTCATATCACTATAGTCCTTCACATACACTGTGATCTCAAAACTCTGGCCATCTGATAATACCTAGAATATCAAAATCAACTGTGGGTGGCAGATCCTTTTCCTATTTAACGCCCAAACTCTGGAACAATCTACCTAGCATTTTTTGGGAGGCAGACACACTCTGTCAGTTTAAATCTAGATTAAAGACCCATCTCTTTAACCTGGCATATACACAACACACTATCACATTTCTATAATTCAAATCCGTTAAAGGATTGTTAGGCTGCATTAATTAGATCAACCGGAACAGTGAACACTTCCCATAACACCCGATGTACTCGTTACACTGTAAGAAGAATGGCATCTATGCCAATTTTAGTCGGTTTCATTCTTATTCCAAGGTCACCGTAGCCACCCAGATTAAGTCCATATTTAGACCATATGATGGATCAGCACCTAGAGACGACATCTACCGCCCTGAATGTCAGCGGAGAGCATGTCAACTAGATGGGCCCCAGAGACAGATCCCCTGCGAAGACCTTGTTAACTAGACGGTCATTAGGACAAGACCATGGGAACCAGACAAGTCCTCTGCGCAATCTGACCTGTGTTGCAGCCTGGAATTAAATCATGCCATGCTGCTCTGGCCAGAGGAGAACTGGCCCCCTGACTAAGCCTGGTTTCTCCCAAGGTTTTTTCTCCATTTCTGTCACAGATGGACTTTTGGTTCCTTGCCACTGTCGCCTTTGGCTTGCTTAGTTTGCTTAGCTTGCTTGACTGATTGCAGAGACACTATTGGAAGAGAACTGAACTGGATGATGACATCACTGAATCAATAATGAACTGACTTTAACTGAAAAATTGACCATTTGTTATTGTCCTCTTGCATTATTGACAAACTATTTCCTGTTTGACACTGTATAGCTGCTTTGACACAACCAGTTCCCTTTCGAGAGGGTCTCTCGAAGTTGCATACAGCTTAAGCTGATCGCATTGGGGAAACACCTTTCTCCTCAAATACTGAAGCCTTATTCGCTTAACGCCATTGAATTGCAATGGCCAATTGCGCTCGAGCACGCAAAAAGGGTGGCGGGAAATCGCCCTATATAAGCGGCGCCGAGTGGAATTTCATCACAATCTTTCTCCTTCATCATAATGCTTAGGTCTTCGCCATTGATTCATCGCCAAAGAGGATTGTGGAATTTGCTTTGCTAATCCCTTAAGCGTTCCGGTGGAGTATGGATTGAAGATATCATTTATGTTTACCCGATCTGCGTGGGACCCATCGGGATCTCCGACGGACTCGAACTTTGCGTCTTCTGCCTGGCCGCTCCCACACAGAAGCCGCCACTGAGGGCCCTAACTGCCCGCATTGTGATGCTAAAAAAGTGAGCGTCAGAATTCTCCGGGATCGGTTAGCCTTCGCACAGCCGCCCCCTCAACCGCTCTCTTCAAGCAGGAAGAAGCACCGAAATCACACCTATTTGGAGTACGAATTATTAAGTGGCGAGTTCACGCTGGCTCAGAGCCCATATGCTTTCCGCCCTGCCGATCCATCCATGAGTTTGAGGACTTCCCGCCCTCGGATAGCGCTCGTCATAAGCGTCGCTTACCTAAATAAAGAAACAAACTTGGCTCTCACGCTCCACTCATGGCAGTGGAGCTATAAGCTGAACGTGAGGTTTGCAGCAAAGGGCTCATATGCTGACACAGGTCCCACTGACCCCCTATGCTCTGAACGTGCTTACGATACAAACAGCACCCCGCCTCAGAGGCGTTCTGGATTGTGCAAAGCACAACATATCCCAGCCAAGGCGCTTCAGCTGCTCACATAACATCAGTGCCCCGCTTCAGCGCGGTACTTTGCCTGCTAGATCGCAGATTGCTCCGATCGCTTACTTAATCATATAAACAGCTCCCCCGACCCAGCGGTGAGCTGTCGCGTACAAAGCATCCGGGCAGGCAGTTTCAGCCTTCACAAGGTTATGACGTATCACCGTATAAAGACCAGCTAAGCGGTTGTTTTCAGTAGCGCAGTGTAGTGCTTGTCTATACTAACTGCTGTAAATTCTAGTGCTCTCACTGGCTTCCTATGATATGCACCGGTGCTGTGCTGCTGTATTCATCAGGACATGTATTGCCGTTTACACTCTACACTGCCACTGCTCGTTGCCTTCTATGATACGCACCGGCAGTGCTGCTGTCTTTCGTACCTGTTTAAGTGCTGTTTACACTGACAGCTATTTATACAACACTGGCGCCCTTGATAAGCACCGACTGTGCCGCTGTCTGTCATACAGACAGCAGTGTTGCTTACAGTAACAGCTATATACTAGTCGGCGCTGCCGGCGTGTGTTGCTTTTATATGATTTTCACTGGCTGTGCCGCTGTCTTTCATACTAGTGTTGCTTACACTAACAGATATATATACAGGTACATCTCAAAAAATTAAAATATCATGAAAAAGGTCAATATTTTTTGTCACTCATTTCAGAAAGTGAAACCCATATATTACATAGATTCATTACACATAGAGTGAAATATTTCAAGCCTTTATTTTCCAACAATGCAGATGACCTGAAGGCCGCTATCAAATCAACCTGGGCTTCCATTATACCTGAGCAGTGCCACAGGCTGATTGCCTCCATGCCACGCCGCATTGATGCAGTAATTCATGCAAAAGGAGGCCCAACCAAGTATTGAGTGCATAGAAATGAACATACTTTTCAGAAGCCTGACATTTCTGTTTAAAATATCCTTTTTTTATTGATCTTATGTAATATTCTAATTTTCTGAGACACTGAATTTTGGGTTTTCATTATCTGTAAGCCATAATCATCAAAATTTCAAGAAATAAAGGCTTGAAATATTTCACTCTATGTGTAATGAATCTATATAATATATGGGTTTCACTTTCTGAAATGAGTGACAAAAAATATTGACCTTTTTCATGATATTCTAATTTTTTGAGATGTACCTGTATATATAGCGCTGCCGCTGTGCGTTGCCTTTTATGATATTCACCGGCTGTGCCACTGTTTCATACAGGTATGTAGTGTAGCTTGCACTGGCCACTATATATGCTGGCGCTGCCGCCGTGCGTTGCTTTTATATGATTTTCACCGGCTGTGCCGCTGTCTTTCATACTAGTGTACTTGTTCATACTAGTGTTGCTTACACTAGTATGAAACTACACTTTAGCTATATACATGGCACTGAAGCCGTGCGTTGCTTTTTATGATAAGCACTGGCTGAGCCGCTGTCTTTCATGCAGATGTATAGTGTCGCTTCACTGACCGCTATATATGCTGACGCTGCCATCGTGCGGTGCGCCCTTCTTTGATAAGCACCGGCTCTGCCGCTGCCATGCAGGTAGTGTTGCTACTGTTATATTTGCCGGAACCGGCGGTGCCGCAGCGCGTTAACCTTCTATGACTTCTATGACTAGCACCGGCTGTGCCGCTGTCTTTCATACAGATTGCTGTTGTTGCTTACACTGGCCACTATGTAGGTCACTGACTGCTATATATGCTGGTGGTGCAGCAGTGCGTTACCCTTCTATGATAAACACCGGCTGTGCCGCTGTCTTCCAAAAACTGACCGCTATATGCTGGCGCTGCCACCATGCATTGCCTTTCTGTGATGAGCGCCGGCTGTGCCACTCTCTTCATACAGATGTGTAATGTTGCTTATACTGACCGCTATATGGACTGGCGTTACAGCTAGCATAGCTCTGTGTGACTGCATGTAAATCTAGCCCAGCTTCAGACTCTTGCATAGAGCCTGAGCCAGCTGCGAAAGAACTCGTGGCCGAAATGCCATCCGTTCCCGGTGTTAAACGTGCCACAGAGCGTTATAGTCGGATTGACAATAAAGTCTTAGCGCTATTTTACTCTTCTCTCGGTTTCACTTCCTATTGCGGGCACTATCACTGGTTGTCTTTGTGCTGGTTGTTCCACTGTGCAGTGCGACAAGCTGGAAGACAGAATACAGGAGATACTACTTTGTTGGCTATCAGAATTCTTTTTTTCTCTCTCTCAAAAAAGTGCTCTCCCTTAAGACAGCGCTATTGCTTATGCTTGCTTCTGTTAAGCTAGTGGATGATATGCAAGCTCTCTCTGTCAGCGAGTCATGTATGGTTTTCAGACCTAATGACTGTAAGTTGTGCTTAAACCGAGAAAGGGCTACATATCCAAGGTGCTCTCAACGCCGTTCAGAGCCCAGGTGATATGTCTTTCGGCTTTTACTCCGAGCGAGTGCGTGGCGGGGGAGAGCCCTGCCCACAGCCTCTTTGCCCTGTGCGCACTTTCAGTGTTTGAAAAAAAAAGAAAAAACAAACTACTGGTGTGCAAGCCGACTATACGAGAGCCATCCATGCCTCATCTTGGTCTAACGGGATATCTATTCGCAGAATAAAATTGCCACGTTCTTAAACAATGGCTTCCCGGGTCCTTTCGGTTCAAGTCTGCTCGCTCAAGGTAGGCCAGTTTACTGCTTCTTGAGTTAAGTCGCTGCTACGTTTTATGATTCATGTCACTGCTTGTGCACTGTGCCGGTGGGATGGCTGGGAGGCCGCCACTCACACACTCTATATTGCGGCAGCCTGATTGTTCCCATAGTGCGCGTCTAAAATTAAGGTTTAATTTAAGGAATAACTGAAGACGGGCCATTGAATTATATTATAAAATAATGATCCGAGGTGGTGATGCGGCCACGACGCAAAGCGTAAGACTAATGCAGTTATGAGAGCGAGATTAAGCATGTGTGAATTACCTGAGTCTGTGCATCAGCAGCGTCCCTACTAATAGCGAAACCAGTGTTTCCCACAGACTTACACTCTATGTGTGGCGGCACTTCCCCTGGGGGAAATATATATGTATATAATGTATGTAAATATAAAACAGCAGACGGGCTTATTGAAACTGCAAATTTATTCTCTGCCAGCAGGAGGCGCTTTTGGAGCGGCAGAAATAGCGGTTTCCCTGGTAACAGCTGTAATCAAAGCAGCACATAAACGCTGCTTTATCAGGCAATATAGGAAAGATTAAATGAAAATGACATCAAAACTTTTCTGAAGACAATCGGTTCCCTTCAAAAAATATACATTTATATAAAACACCCGTGCCGCGTTTTGATTTTGGAACGTGCAGATAGGGCTGTGACGGTCGCCGTGAAAACCGCGTCACTGCGGTGGTCGCTTGCCACCGCGGTTTTCTACTGCCACCAGCGGTAGTGCACGTGATGTCACGCACTCTATAACAAGCATAATACGAAGTTTACGAAGTGTAATAACAGTAATAACAGTAGCGGAACAGTGAACCGTGTCTACACCGGACGCGACACCACCGCGTCGCAACAGGTTGAGTCTGTCTAGTGTTTACACAGGACATTTGAACTCTGTGTCAGTACCTCATAAATAGAACGAGGCAGTTTACTGTCTTGTCGTGTCGCATCCAGTGTAGCATCACTGATTATAATGAGTTTTATAGTATTTTGACGCGCCGCGTCCTGTAGACAGGGTGTATTTACCTTTCTTATTTAGGCTACTTTCTTGTTTAACTGTATTATTTCTTTGATATTTATTTTAGTGTTTTGCAGGCTGCGGATTCACTGACTGAAGTGCTAAAATAAACACGAGCTGATGAGTTAAATCGGGTGTGTTATGCAGAAGGCAAAAATGCAGAGGCAGATGACATAATTGGAGAGACAGTTAAAGTTAAAGTGGGGCAGACGCTAAGCCTTAAGTTAATAATTTTGTCACTAAAATATCTCAAGAAGCTTTCACAGAGAGCATCAGAGGCAACAGGCAAGGTGTTAACTGAAGGATTTGTAACAGATTGAATAACTGAAAAAAAAACCTTAGGTTTAGAATTAGTTTCAATTAAATTAGAAAAGTATACAGCTTTCGCAGACTTAGCTGTAGTCTGGTAAGATGTAAGAGAGTCTCTGAACATTTGAAGAGAGATATGCAGCCTGTCCTTTTTCCATTTACGTTCTGCCTTTCTGCAGTTTTGTCTTAGGAGACGGGTATCAGAGTTTTGCCACAGTACAGATTTTGGTTTTTGCTTGTGAGGCTTAAGGGGGGCAGTTGCATTTGCTACCTTAAGCCAGGCAGAATTCACGAGGCTAAGATGTTGATCAGCATCCAAGTCAGATAATGGTTGATCCAAGTGCAACTGTGAGCAACATTCAGCAAAGCACAAGTTGAAATTTGTGCTAAACTGTGGAGAGTAGAAACGAGAAAGATTTACAGGTGTATTAGAAAAATGAGAGAGATCTGGAAGAGACAGTGAGAATAATATAGGCTTATGTCAGAGGAGCAGGGGAAGAGGAAAAATTACCCAACTTCACAAAAAACTTTCTGTCAGACAGGTATGACTGAAACCATTTCAGAACGTTTGCTTTTAGACCTACCCAAGACTCTAATCTAGATAATAGTGAGGAGTGGTCTATGGTATCAAAAGCAGCCGATAGATCTAAAAGAATAAGAACCACCGAGTCTGCGGAATCAGTAGAGAGGTAAATATCATTTAACACTCTCAAAAGGGTGGTCGCTATCGCTAGAACAGAATGAAGGTTTAAGCTTGTCAATCACTTGCTTCAATTCCTGGAGGTTGATAGGTTCAAAAACATCCAAAAATGCAGAGGCAGATGACATAATTGGAGAGACAGTTAAAGTTAAAGTGGGGCAGACGCTAAGCCTTAAGTTAATAATTTTGTCACTAAAATATCTCAAGAAGCTTTCACAGAGAGCATCAGAGGCAACAGGCAAGGTGTTAACTGAAGGATTTGTAACAGATTGAATAACTGAAAAAAAAACCTTAGGTTTAGAATTAGTTTCAATTAAATTAGAAAAGTATACAGCTTTCGCAGACTTAGCTGTAGTCTGGTAAGATGTAAGAGAGTCTCTGAACATTTGAAGAGAGATATGCAGCCTGTCCTTTTTCCATTTACGTTCTGCCTTTCTGCAGCTTTGTCTTAGGAGACGGGTATCACGAGAGAAAGACTCAATAGATGAGTGAGACAGTGCTGGGCTGCTCCAGGACAGTTTTGAAAACCATTTCAGAGACATGTTCTTAAATGTGACTGTGACTCATATAAAATATATTACATGCATGCATTTTAAGGCAGCTTTAATCGCCTTTTTGGTAACTTCATGACTTAACTGACCACGGCATTGCATTAATCGCCTGCGTTAACGCGCTAATTTTGACACCACTAAAATATATATATATATATATATATATAATTAATATTAATTATATACAGCCTATATATATATATATATATATATATACATATATTTATATCAACACCGCGCCACTGGCGGTGGTAAAAATCTGCCACTGTCACAGCCCTACGTGCAGAGCTCATGTTTATTCAACAGTCAAGCCTTTTTAGAAAATAATTTGTGGCGGTCAGTGTTGATATTGTAGCAGGCCACAAATAAATCAATGTATGGGAAACCCTGTGAAACTGTAAATTAATCTGCTTCAATAACAGCGCCAATATTACCTCCTAAGTGAGAAATGTCAGCCTTTAACTTGCTAAAATATTTTACTGGTGAAATCGTCAGAGCAGTGCTGACAACACGTTTCTGTGCGCATTAATGTTTATGTGGAAAGAGAATGTGTGCTTTCCCTTCATAATAAAATAATTTTGTGGCAAAAATATGGAAATAATTTGTCATTTTAATCCTATTGTTTAATATATTTATTTGCTTGGTCATTGTCTTTGTGGGTTTTAGTTATTTTCCTGTTGTATACCCTTTTGAAATAACTGAAATCATTTAGCGAAGTGACGACATGTACTAACACCATGTTGAAGTAGAATGTCTGATGAGATGACCACATGGAGCAAGTCCTCTTCCTTCGTTACAACAGAAAGTTTTGCCCAAAGCTATAGGTTTTAACTGAATGAACAGTTTGAATGGACATTTAGTGTTTCATTAGATATGCCAAATGCTTCGAACAGACACCAATACTTCACAGGATTAAATTTTGCAGTAATTTTGAATCGTACAGTATTTTTATCATTGCTTAATGTTATCATAATTCAGTGCTAGGGATGTAACGGTATGAAAATTTCTTATCACGGTTATAGTGACCAAAATGATCACGGTTATCCGTTTTATCACGGTATTGTTAAAATGTGCTGGAGATGTTCAAAAAGTACTATGGAAAGCTGAATTAGAGCCGTTTCCTGTAAACTCCGTGGACAAAGCAGTATTGCAATTAAGAACACTTCCTTTAGGTATTACAGAGCGAAGATGAAAACAAAATGCCCCATAGA